TCAGTGAGTTTTGCGAGATCATTTGTGTAGAGAATGAAGAGGAGCGGGCCGAGAACAGAACCTTGAGGAACACCACTGAGAACATCAACCCATGCAGAGCTGGTATTGTTAATTGTAACGCGTTGCTTTCTGCCCACTAAAAAAGATTTAATCCATTGTAGGAGTTTGCCGTTTATTCCGAAAGATCTTAATTTTAACAAAAGTCTGTTGTGAGGTACAGAGTCAAACGCTTTGGCAAAGTCAAGATAGATTACATCAATAAATTGGTGAGATGCTATGGAGGACGAAATGATATCAAAAGTTTCTATTAGGTTAGTTACGCATGATTTATGATAAAGGAAGCCATGTTGATTTGCAGAGAGCATTTTATTATCGTTAATGTGCTTTAAAATTTTTTTCTTTACAAGTTTTTCAAAGATTTTACAGGCAACAGATGTTAGTGAAATAGGTCTATAGTTTTCAGCAAGTAATTTATCTTTTTTTTATAGATCGGACTTTTATAGATTTATTTTATAGATCTTTACCTTTTTTTTATAGATCGGACTAATATTTGCTAATTTCCATTGAGTGGGTAGTACTCCAGAATTAAAGGATTTATGAAAGATTTTTGTTAATGGAATTGCAAAGTTTTTGGCACATATCTTGAGTATTAAGGGATGCAAGCCGTCAGATCCGAAGGATTTATAAGGCTTTAGATCGGCAAGTTCCTGAATAATATCTGAGATAGAGAAATCCAAGTTTTCATTATAAATGCATTCAGAAAGAGTACCACTTTTATTTAGCAAGGGAAAATTTTCAGAGCTTTCAAGTGTAAACATAGATTTAAATTGAGAGTTCAGAAGATCAACTATATCAGGAAGAGCTTCAATAATTCTGCCTGAAGTATCTTTGAGAGAGCGAATTCTATCTTTAATTTTTAGTTGTTTGTTGATATATTTGTAAACGATTTTTGGGTTGTTTTGGGATTTTGATATTATTTCTTTTTCATGTGCTTTTTTTGCTTTAAATATTTCAGTTTTTACTGAACGATTAAGGCGATTGTATTTTATTTTAAGCTCACTATTTTTAATACAAAATAAAACACTTTTGAATAAAGAAGTTTGTTTTGAAAGAAAGAAAATTGTTTTGTTTTGTATTTTATATAACAAAAATTTAAAAAAGACAAAAAACAAGCAGATTATTTGAACTTGCCAATTTTTAAAATTAAAGGGCATTTTTATTAAGAACATAATTGAAATTGAATTACAAAGTTTCTGTTCTTGCCAATGGATGGCAACATGGATGTCTTTTGATGCGGCAACAGAAATAAAACTTTCGGTCTTTTTTTTCAACGAGGAACTTTTTTTTTTTAATATCATTATGGTCACGACCCAGAGATTAAGATTCGTATTTATCATTTGTGAGATTCGAATGGCTTAGTTTTAAAATATTACCATATTAAGGTAATATTTTTTTACCATATTATAAATATTTAAGACATTTAAGAACATCTTAAATCCAAATGTTACCCTTTTCATTTTTTGATCCAAATAGCAAAATATCTATCCGTTAAACAACATCGGCCAGGATCACTGATCTCTATAATAACTGGATAGCGCAACTCTGAACAAAATTTTGAATTTTTTGACGCCAAAATCGCCATATTGGAAAGCCCCAGATATTTGAATAAGTAAGCCTTTTAAAAAATAAGTAAGGCTTTTAAAAAACTTATTATTTTCATTTTAAAAAAACCTTAAAGTAAGCGTTTGGCTTAGTTTTTCGACTAATCGCTTTAAAATCAGATTTCAGCTAAGTTGAATATACAATAATGTGCGGATTAAAAAAAGATCCCTGAGGTTCAGAGTGTTGTGCATATGGGTGCAAAAAAGGAAAAGAACTGAGGGTTGAAGAAGTAATATTTTAGGAAGTTAATATAATAATAATATTATTATCTACAATAAATCTTATATAGTTATTTTTATAGATATCAGTTCTTAATTAACATTCATATATATATATATATATATATATATATATATATATATATATATATATATATATATATATATATATATATATATATATATGTATATATATATATATATATATATATATATATATATATATATATATATATATATATATATATATATATATATATATATACACACACACACAAATAGATAGATACAAATGTAAATCAGTATGCACCTTTTGATTCTTAATTACCCTCTGCAAAATGCCTGAGGCTTGTAACATATTTGCAAAGTAAACAGCTTACACATTGTTGTATGAATCATTAGTTGGGCTATGTGAGTGTAACACAACCCAAAGGTTCCTTAGGCAGTAAATAGTGATTATATATATATATATATATATATATATATATATATATATATATATATATATATATATATATATATATATATATATAATACAAATAGATAGATACGAATATATATCAGTATGCACCTTTTGATTTTTAATTACCCGGTGCAAAATGCCAGAGGCTTGTAACATATTTGCCAAGTAAACAGCTTATTCATTGTTGTATGAATCATTAGTTGGGCTATGTTAGTGTAACTCAACCCGAAGGTTTCTTAGACAGTAAATAGTAATTATATATATATATATATATATATATATATATATATATATATATATATATATATATATATATATATATATATATATATATATATACTTTAATAAAACATTTTAATAAAATAATTACTGGCTGTTGTTTCAGAAATTACTAGATAATGGGTTACCCAAAAAACTTGTTAGTTTGCTTACATTTTGGTATAGTAATCAACAAATGTTTGTTCGATGGCAAAAAACAAAATCAAATAGTTTTAGAGTTGTCCCCACTTCTATTTAACTTTTACATACAGAATATGATTTTATTAATCTCAAAACTACGTATTGGATGTAATATAGGTGGCTTATGCTGATGATATGGTTATAATTGCACCATCTTGGTATTCTCTTCAAAAACTAATTAGCTTTACAAATAAGGAATCTTCCTTAATTAACATATTCTTTAACACAAAGAAAACTGTATGTATAGTGTTTAATCCAACTCAAAAATTATATCAAACTCCTTCCCAGAATTATGCATATCAGGCTGTAAAATTGTTTTTGTTGAATCTTTTAAATAACTTGGCTATATAATGACCTAACTGATGATCTTGATATAACCAAGGAGATGAAGGGTCTTTACACATGTACAAATATTTTAACTAGACACTTTCATTTATGCTCTACCAGAGTAAAGGTCAAATTGTTTAAATCATATTACATTTGTTTATATGCTGCTCCTCTGCAGCAAAATTATAATGATAAAACAATGGCACGCCTTCATTATTGCTACAACAAATGTGCTAAAATGTTTTTTGGCTACAACAAGTATGATCTCATGCTTTTAGAGTACAGATTACCATCTCTTTATACAATTATCTCGAACTACAGACATGCTTCTTGTAAAAAGTTGATGGCTTGTTTCTTAGTAAATAATTCCATGTGTTCTCTTAAAGTTTAAAAAATATTTTTCTTGTAAAAACTATGGACCTGGCACCTAAATTGTATCTGCCTGTTGTCTGAAATATATTTATAATAATAATAATAATAATAATAATAATAATAATAATAATAATAATAATAATAATAATAATTATATATATATATATATATATATATATATATATATATATATATATATATATATATATATATATATATATATATATATATATATATATATATATTAGTAAAAAAACTCATCTAACCAGTAAGAAATCTTTTTTCTTGGTTAGATGAGTTTTTGATGTTGAAGACAAAAATTAGATAAGTGTTTTAACTATTTTATTATTGCTGTTCTTAAGAACATTGAGCACTCTGTACTTGCAAAATGCTCTAGAATAACCTAACATAATTTAAAAAATTAAACAATAATTATACCTGTATTTCTTTTATTTTCCCTTTTGTTTTTGAGTACAATATTTTACAAGATTTATTATTATTCAACCATTAATTATCAGGATACAACTGATAAATGTAAGTTGAAATAATAACTACTTTCATAAAACTACATGTGTCTCTATATCTTTCATACTTTGATTGATAAAAAACAATAAACGCTTAAATATCTTGTAACGTATGTCACCAAAATAGCAGAAAAAGAACTTAGTAACAACATATAAACTTAGTAGTTATATAAGTTAAAGCTTTTCGTACTTTTTATAAAGTTTGTGACGCAGCAGAAATAAAACTTGGTAGTGTATGATTATCAATTTTAATCTACTATAATAAAGTCGATGATATTACTTTTGCAGTTGCGAAAGAAACCAACATATCCTGAGTTTTTTAAAAACTATGAAAATTTAAAACCATTTAAAAAATCTTTGATACAATATTTTTTTGTTATGTTTTACACTTATAAAGCTACTTTCTCACTGCTATTATAAAGTAAGATTGCATCAAGTTGTAACAATAAACATTCTAAAGTAACCAGAGTAAATATTAATTTTGACTTTCAGCAAAGTAGTTTCATATTGAACATAAGAAGATTAATAAAGGTAACAAGTTTATACAAAACAAATACAAATTATTAAACAGTCTGTTCTCCTATATTCTTTATTTCCATTCAACTCTAATTTTGTTCGTGCTTTTTTTTTTTTACTTTTTCAATTTTCAAACTTTCAAACATTTTAAAAATAACAATATGATTGAAATATGCAACTTTAATCTAGTCAATGTAAAAGAAGTAGTAAGTAAAGCAATAACAAATCTTCAAGCGCAATCTCTGTATTTTCAAATTCCGTTCAGTTTTCTGGGGCTTTCCAATATGGCGATTTTGGCGTCAATTTTGATATTAGAGATGCGCTATCCAGTTATTACAGAGATCAGTGGCCAGGATATATACACACTTAATACATGCTGCGCACAGCACAGCATGTATCACTGCGCATGTATCACTGCACAGCATATATCCTCAGATGAGCTAGCCACTGCGTTGTGCGCAATGGCTAGCTCGGTCCCCAAAAACCCGTCATTAAAACTTCAAAATTCTAAAAAATTTTATATTAGGTATTGCGAAAAAAAAAATTAAAAAAAAAAAATACTCCTTATATTGCAAAAGGGCCCCTTAAATTAGCTAGGCTTCCCCAATTCTAGGCTTATAAACAAAACAAAAAAAATTCGTAATAATCGGATTAAGAATTTATAATAATCATTTATGTCAACGTGTAGGGCGTGAAGGTGTGGCAAATATAAATAGTGAATCGGAAATAAACAATTACAAAAATTATAAATAAACACATCGCCAGGCTAATGTCTAATTGATTTACAATTGAATAAAGATACTCTATAACGCTCAGTATGAAGGAGGAAAATCCGGTAGATAGTCAAGTGACAAAGTCAAATTTCCAAATTGAAGATGGAGAATTGGAATTACTCTTACCATCTAAAAGTAAAAAAGGTTTATCATGGCAGTTGGCAATTTTATTCATTGTAGGAGAAATTGTTGGTGGAGGTGTTGTTGCCATGGGTGATGCAACTGTAAATGCAGGTTATTATTGCTTAATAAATTTAATTTAGTTTTTTTTATTAAGTGATTATGTGCAGTTTAATTTTTAAAACGAAATTTAAACAATGTTTAGGATTTTTTTTAAATGTTTGTATTTAAAAAATGATGTATATTTGCATCAACCGTATTGAAAACCAATCAGTCATTTAAATAATTTAATTTGAGGTTAAAACTGTTTTTTGTCCTGATTAATAAATGTCCTGGTAAATATATTTTTGTATTAATAAGGTAAATAAGCCTTTCTATTAATTAGTTAGTTTTTATGATGTAAGCAAAGATAGTTTTTTAAAATTTGAAAATTTAAAAAAGTTGAGTTGTCAGAAAATAAATCCACTTTAGATGTAAGATTGTAGGGAAGATTATTGTTATTATGAAGATTAACATTTTTATTAATTGAAGATAAAGAAACAAAAAAAGAGCAAGGGTAGAACCTTGTCATACACTTAAAATTACTGAAAATGAAGAAGAGCGCAAGCCTTTAATAATGCAATTAGAAAGATCTTAATTTGTAGGATAGTTGGAAAAGTCAGAATGTTTTCTAGAGTTTTAAGGTATTGGAACCATTTATTTTGCACTTAATAACAGTTAAACAAGATTAAAGAGAGTTCTGGAGTTTTGTAAGACTGATAGAAATGTCTGGACCACAAGCTGTAAGAAATTAAAAATGAAAATTATCTTTCAACATCAGAAACTGGAGTTGGATGTCTAAAAATGGGTTATTCTGTTTAATAGGAATGGCAAGAAACGTATGGCAATTACATTCAAATGTCAAATTAGAGGAAAGTTTCTTTGCAAATAACTCTGCCTTATTTTATAAGGCAAAGTTATTTGCAAATGCCTTATAAAATATTTTTGTGATTTGTTGTTTTTTTGGTTTTTTTTTTTTTTTTTCCTAATTTAACTTCTTTTTTTTAGTAATTCTCTAAAGTAATCTTTTTGTCTAAATTTTTTTTGTGTGCTCATAAAGTACGTCACGCTAAATTTATCTTTTGAATGGAAGCATGATCATTCAATCTCTGCGTGGAAGCCTATAATATTTTAAAAGGTTGTTAAAGCAAAAAGTTTAAAAGACGTTAGAGTAAATTAATAAGCGAGATGTTAGAGGAAAAGACATTAAAGGGAATGTTTCTTAATTTTTTTTTTTAACATTAACAGCCTGGTTTTTATCTTTGTTTAAAAAACATTGCACCAAATTAACCTATTATTAATAATTTAAATTATTATTTTATCAACAATTTTATATTATTAATTTTACTACATTAAGTATATTAAAAAGTATTAAAAAAATTTTTTTTTAATTTTTTTATTAAAATAAATTTTCTAATAGTTAATTTATGCTAACAGAAACCAGTAACTTTTTTGCTTCAACGTTTTTCTCTTTAACAACCTTGAACCTTATATTTACTTTGATTTACTGAATGGATAAAGTATATCACAGTAAATGTACTTATAGACTAAATCAAAACAACCAATTACGCTATTACAGCAAGTTACAGTTACTCAAATATTAACTTTCAACTATATTAATTTACTTATTATACACAAAGACTTGCAAATGTTAGTCATACAAATGTTTCTATTTATATCTTGTATGTTGTTAAATGATAATATTAATACGCTAATTTAATAGTAGTGTTGATAGTCGACTTATGTCATTTTCTAGGCTTTTCTATTTTAAAGTAGTTTCTAGGCTTTTCTATACGCAGTTTTTTTTTTAATTTTATTTTCTAACAACCCGTATTATGGGTTGCTTACTGCTAGTATATTGTTTATACATAATATAAACTTCTAACTAAAAATTATTTTAACATAAAAATCCTGAATAGAATATGATAAATGCGATACCATTTTTTTATATTTAAATTTTATTTAAAGTGATACTAAGACTAAACACTTTTTAATAAATATGTAAGTTGTTTTTAGGAATTTTCAAAAGAAATCTATTTGAACTAAAGAGTTCTTCTAAAAAAAGGTTTTAAAATTCTCTCATTCAACTATTTTAACGTTCAACAGTTACAAATTTAATTGCAGTGGTCTGTGATACCCAGTGACGTAGCGATGGTTATTTCCTGAAAGTTAAACATATCTAGCTACAGTAACAATATCAGAATTAGAACATAGTTCAAACGAGGAAGAAAATTATATTTAAATTGTAAACATTTTGAATAGTAAATTTTTTTTCGTTTCAAGGAAATAGTTTTTAGAGTAGAAAACATTCTATTCCAAAAATTAAACCAGTAATTATTGCAAGCGTTAAACAAAAAATTAATTATTATAAAAAATTTAAATAAAAAAAATAAATCATTTTACTTTTGTTCAAGGAAATTTTTTTCATAAAAATAATTTAAGCATATACTTAAACTTAACAAAAAAAATAAGAAAAAAATAAATCGACTTGTTAAACCAAATTTTTTTCTCGCTTTTTATTTCAAAACAATTTGAACGAAAAAATTGAATGAAAACATCAACTTAAAAACCATTTAAATGAAAAAATTATTTATACTTAAATTTTTAATAGTAATAGTAATAAACTGTAAAAAATGTGGTATTTAATGTTTTTTTGCTTGGACCTTACTCGTTTTTGTCTATGCATGCTTATGCATTTTTTTCTTAAATTAAACATTTCTATTTATTTAATTCGTTTTATTTTAAACGTGTTTTATGTAATTAATTTATATAAAAATTTAAATTTATAACCTAGCAACATGAACAGCATCACAAAGATGTTTTATATTATCACAAGCTCTTTATATTGTCAAAGCTTTGCAGTTTTATTTTTAACTTTGTTTTATTTTTGTTTTATAGCTTTTTAAAATAACAATCTCTTTAAAAATAACACATGTTTTATAGTCAGGATAAACGTATTAAATAGTTTTCTACAACTAATTAAAGTGGTTTAAGTATTGTAATATTTGCGTTTTTACTTTTACTTTTTTAAGGATCATGTTAAGTAAAAACAATTACTAAAAGTAACATCCTAATATTATTAAATACTTTACTTGTTCATTACATCATAACCTGTTTATTACACTTTAACTGCAACTTAAGCTTTAAACTATAACTTAAGCTGTACATTATAGCAGTAAACTACGCTATTTTAAACTCCACCAAACAAGAAAATTTTAAGATAAAATTTAAATATGACAGATATTATGTTTAAAAAGTAATAATTACGAACTAATGTTGAAAAAAATACAATTTTATATAAACGCTACACCAACCTTCACCCCCACTTCCCTTACCGCAGAGCTGCATTAGGGATGAGGGGGGAGGGTTTGTAAAAGTTTTTTTTCTCCACAATTAGATTATTTTTGCCTTGATTCAAGCCCTGTAATATATGTGGAGTGGTTTTGGAGTGCAATGAGGAGTGTGAATTTTGAAAAATTGACAAAAACTAATCTATCTTATAGACGCACAACAACAGAAATCAATATCTTTTCTATCTATTATTAGGACCAAGAGTTTATTATTATATCAAATATTTAAATAGATTATAGATTTCAATTTTATTTTATTTGTTTTATTGCAATCAGTCACCCTTTTTTATAATAAATTTTTAATAATTTTAATTAAGGTTTCTTAAATTGACTACATGAAACGCGTTACTCAAATGATTTATCTTGAAGAAATGATCAATTACTCATTAGCAATTATCAAAAAGACTGCAAACTGTACATTTATAACCAACAGCATCAAAATATAGTTTTGTTGATGTCTTGTCTCTTAGATCATTCTAGCTTAATTCTCAGTACCATGCCTTCTCAGATTTTGATGATTTTTGGTATACAAACTTAAATTAATGAAAAAAGCTTCACTCCAAATTTTAGTGTCTGACTCCTTACGGTTTCAGAGATATCAGTCCCAATCTCTTTTTTTGGTTATTTTTTTCAGCGCCTTTTATTTTTTAAGCTAATTACATAACACAAGTAGATTTAACTTATGAAATACTTGCTCAATATTGTTGAAACACTAAAAAATTAAAGCTTCTCTATGAAAATTTAATTTCAAAATGGTATAACACTTTTTATAACTTTTTTGATGCCCTGTACAAAAAGTACGGAGCATTAAAAAACTTAGAAAAATTTTCAGAATCATTTCTTTTAGGCATCTTGAGGTGCCTAAAAGATATGATTCTGAAATTTTTCCTATGGTTCTATACATAACAAATTCCTTTTACAAAAAAACTGGAAGGTTTTTTTTTTTTTTTGAATCTGATTTATTTCCATGTAAAGTTTTATAAAAAGTTTTAAAAAATTGTTATTTAGTAATGAAAAAAATATATATATACGTTTTTAAGTTGCACCTGAGATTCTAAAATCTTTTTTAAAAAAAAAAATTTTTTATAAGATTTTAGAATCTCAGGTGCAGTTCTGATGTATAAACTTGTTTGCATTTCACATTTATATAACTGTCATGTTTAATGATTAGACTTTCTATTTACAAATCTTCAAATAATTATTTTAAAATTATTTCTTACAGAACTAAAAAATAATATAAAAATATTAATGATAAAGAAAGTTGTCATAAACAAACATCTAATGATATCAAAAATGAAGTGAAATCCAATGATATCAAGAAAATTTCATGTCTCAATGGTATAAAAAAAGACTTGATAGTTAGTCATTCAGGCATTGAAAGTGATGAAAATGCACTGGTTTGCTTCCATGAATATGTTTACTTGAAACTTTACTCCACAATCCACATATTTTGCCGTGGTCCATTTAATTCACATAATGGAAAAAAAAAAGAAAAGATATTACTTAACCATGAAGCTTTTTTTAAACTTTATTGCAATTATGAAAAAACTTTTTTTGCAAAATACTAAGTAGTAATTATCACTCATGTTTTAAGGAGGATGTAAAGAAATTTATAAACAACTTGCTGGGAAATTGAAACACATTGGTATTAATGTTATTCCTGGAGAAAAATAATTAAATTGATGTCATTAAATGATGATAAACCGGAAGAACCGACTTGCAACCAGATTTATGAAGATGAAGATAATGAACTTCTTAAATCTCAATTTTTTTGTGACAGCTATGAACATAAGTCCTCTTAAAACGCATGTTGTGAATAGTCTTGATAAAAAGAAGTCATTAAATGTTCAAAAAACAGGAAAGTTGCAAGGACTTTAAATAAAGATCCTGATCAGTTAAGCCAAAAAGATTCCTACAATAAATTATCTAAGTAAGTTAAATGTGAAGCAAATAATATGGCTATACTTGTAAGAAAAGTTAAAGAAAAAATATTAACTTTCAAATAATATCAGAAAGTTTTTCATTAGGAAGAAATTTTATACGGGGTACCAAAAAACTTACAAAAAAGTATTACATTATTTTGAAATTAAATTTTCATGTAGAAGTTTGAACATTTTTGAGTTCTTCTCCCTAAAATAATGTCGTAAATAGAAAATCCTTGATTAAACATGAAGGTTATATAAAGTGGAGATCTTTGATGTGTTACATTCAATTTCAAAATGGTGTAAAAGTGTTAAACCAATTGGAAATTGAATTTTCATAGAGAATCTTAAAATTTTTAGTATTTTAGGTGCTCAGTAACTAACTACTTACTCCAACTACAAAACCTACACTCACCTTAGACTCCTGTATTTTGTTAGATGCAGTGTTTTTCCTAATGCACTTCCAAAATGTCATGCCTGGTTTTCTCAAAGTACTGTTGCGGAAAGTAACTCCTTTTAACTACTCCAGGTCAGGTCAGGATAATCGAGATCAATCTTGCTACTGGTATCACATAACCCATTACCACCTGTAACAAGCCCTGCTGCCTTGTAGAGTGTGCTCTTCTTGTGCAAAGGCTAGGAGAAATAAACTCCGACTAAAAATTCCCCTGCCTTGGGGCTCTTGGTTGAGTAAAGGCTAGAGATGGTATCTCGATAAAAACACTCATCTTGGGCAGATGTTAACTGCATCCAGCTAAACATCCCCTGCCTTGGGGCTCTTGGTTGAGTAAAGGCTAGAGATGGTATCTCGATAAAAACACTCATCTTGGGCAGATGTTAACTGCATCCTGCTACTGTCTTGTAGAAGGCCTCCTAGGCAAAGACTTTAGGGGTAAGCAGAAAAATTCTGCTAACCAGCCTCGAACCCCTTCTTCATCTGTTAGGCTGGCGTAGATGTAACCTGTGTTACATTGTTTCCTGCCTAGGATGATGAATGCTGGATCTCCTTGACTCTACTCATAGAATTTTGCTTATGCCTCCTTGATAATGGCTATGCAACTCTTCCTGTTATCTCCATATGAGGGTACAGTTCTAAAACTCAGTTTAATGGTTCTGAGGCCGGCTGGTAGTAAGGTTTCCCGAACTCTGTGGTAGCTCTCAGAGAGGCTGATTTCATTAACAGCTGCAAAATATCAGAGTATTAACAGTGCCATGTTGCGCATGGATGGTGTCCCTGTTAATGCTTTTGGTGTGCATTGTCAAGGCCACATAAGGAGCCCTAGGTCACGGCTTAGGGTTAATTAACAGAACTGAGACAACTGCATAGCTCATTGATTAGGAGGCTGTGCTCTATCTATGAATGAGTCAAGTTCTCATTAAACCCAAATCATGACCAAAGTAACCAAAAATTTAAAACCTAAAAAACCATCCCCACCACCTAAATATTTTAATATATCTTTTACAAATATTCGCGGTCTACGAAGCAACTTTCCATCAGTTGAGTCTTACCTCCTGCAAAATTCACCAGACTTGCTTGCACTCAGCGAAACAAATTTAAATTCTGCAATTCCTTCTTCAGATGTCAGTGTTGATGGCTACTATCGTTTGATTCGTTAAGACTCAAATAGTCGCATGCTAGGTTTAGGGGTATACATACGCATTAATTCCCCTATTTGTTGTGAAATCAGGTTCGAATCCTTTGACCATTCTTTTATGTGCTTTCGCCTAGCACCTCTTCACTCTATCACCTTTCTCTTTGTTCTTTATCGTTCTCCTTCTTCCCATGATTGCACTCTTTTAGATGTTATCTCTGATCAAATTGACCATGCCCTCTCTCTTTACCCCTCTGCCAATATTGTTGTTGTTGGTGATTTTAATGCCCATCACACTGAATGGCTTGGCTCTAACACCACTGATCCTGCTGGCACTAAAGCCTTTAACTTCTGCGTTTCTCAATCTCTTACTCAGTTAACTTTGTGACTCGTTTTCCTGACAACCCTAATCATTTACCTTCACTCCTTGACTTATGTCTTGTCTCTGACCCTAGCTTATGTTCAGTTTCTCCCTTTTCTCCCTTAGGTGGTTCTGACCATGCAATGATCTCTATAAATCTTTCTTCTCGTACTTCTTTTTTGGGCTCACCTTATCATTGCACCACCTACTACTACCCTAAAGCTGACTGGGATTCCTTTCGTGATTTTCTTCGTGATGGTCCTTGGGCTGATGTTTTTTCTCTCTCAGCTGACAAATGTGCCTCCTACGTAACCTCCTGGATTCAGGCTGGAATGGAAGCTTTTATTCCTTCTCGTCGGTTTCAAGTCAAGCCTCATTCTACTCCATGGTTTTCTCCTTCTTGTGCGGCTGCTATATCCAATCGTAACCATTTTTTTCATCTTTTTCAAAAGAACAACTCTCTTGAGAACAAACGGCTATTTATTATTGCAAGTAATCGATGTAAAAAGGTGCTTTCTGATGCTAAACTCCATTATTCTCAGTTCACTAGATCTCGCATCTTATCGCAGAAGTTAGGCTCTAAAGACTTTTGGAAAATCTTCAACAGCATTGTTAACAAGGGTAGATCTAACATTCCATCTCTCATTCATGGGACTGATCTTATTACCTCTCCCAAGGATAAGGCAGAACTATTTGCAAAGAACTTTTCTTCTAATTCCACTCTTGAATCTTATGGACATTCTCTTCCTTCCATTCCAGTCAAACAGGTTGACCCTTTGCTAGACATTCAAATCACTCCGGCTTCTGTTGCTAAAGTCATATCTCAATTAAACTCGTCTACAGCTTGTGGTCCAGACAACATTCCTGTCACAGTCTTGCAGAATTGTTCTCTAGAACTTTCTTCAATTCTCTCTAAACTATTTAACAAGTGTTTGACTGAGTCTTGTTTTCCTGCTTGTTGGAAAATGGCATCTGTGGTTCCAATATTCAAAAACTTTGGAGAAAATTCTGATCCTTCCAATTATCGTCCGATCAGTTTTCTTTCTGTTATTAGCAAGGTCTTTGAGTCTTTGATCAACAAATTCCTCACATCTCATCTTGAGTCAAATAAACTACTGTCAGACAATCAATACGGTTTTCAATCCTCTCGCTCTACGGCTGACTTGCTAACTGCTGTAACTGAAAGATTTTATCGTGCATCAGATGGAGGCGGTGAGGCTAGGGCTATTGCTCTCGACATATCTAAAGCTTTCGACAAAGTTTGGCATGCTGGTCTTCTCCATAAGCTTGCTTCATATGGTGTTTCGGGGAAAGTTTTTGAGATTATCAAATCATTTCTTTCTAACCGGTTTATTAAAGTCATCTTTGAAGGCCAACACTTTACTTTATTTCCAGTAACTTCTGGGGTTCCCCAAGGTTCCATCCTGGGCCCTGTTTTGTTTCTTATCTACATAAACGATCTTCCTGACAACCTTTCATCTAAAGTAGCTCTTTTTGCTGATGACTCAACTTTATACTCCTGTCTTGACAAAAAGTCTTCTCTTTTCAATCGCCTAGAACAAGCAGCTGATCTTGAATCGGATCTCACTTCAGTAATAGATTGGGGTTCACAGTGGCTTGTGAATTTCAACTCTAACAAAACCCATTTGCTCACTGCAAACAACTACCGTAATATGGTCTACATTCCTATATTAATGAATGGCAATCCTCTTACTGAGTCCTCCTCTTTACGTCTTCTTGGATTATCGCTTACTACTGACCTTTATCGATTGCTAAATTAGCTTCTGCTAAGTTTGCTTCTCTTTATCGTGCTCGCCATTTCCTTACTTCTGATTTCATTCTCTACCTCCACAAATCTCTTATTCGTCCCTGTATGGAATACTGTTGTCATATTTGGGCTGGTTCTTCTAACGATTCACTTTCTCTTCTTGACAAGGTCCAAAAACGCATTGTAAATGTTGTTGGACCTGGACTATCTGCTAAGCTTGAACCTCTTTCCCATCGTCGTAAAGTTGCATCTCTTTCTCTTTTCTACAAATACTATCATAGTCACTGCTCAAAGGAGTTATCATCTCTAGTTCCATCAACTAAAATTCATTCTCGTTTTACTCGTCATTCAGCTAAGTCTCATTTGTTTACTGTATCTGTCCCTGCATGCTCTAAAAACTTTTATTCATCTAGTTTTTTTCCCCGCACTTCAATCCTTTGGAACTCTCTCCAATCTTCATGTTTTCCTGACTCATACAACCTTCAACTTTTCAAGTCTTCTGTCAACCATTTCCTTGCTCTATAACTCTGTTCTTTTTTTTTTCCTAATAACTCCCAACTTAATAGTGGTTGCTTGCAGCCTTGTTGGGAGTGAATGCAAATAAAAAAAAAAAAAAAAAAAAAAATTTTAGGTATCATTTTTGAGTTCCTCTCTCTAAAGAATAATTAGTTACAATTTTTCAACACTATTGAGCAAGTATTTCATAAGTTAAAGGTAATAGTGTTATGTAGTTAGCTTAAAAAATAAATGGCCCTGAAAAAAATAATCAAAAAAGAGATTAGGACTGAGTATCAATATCTCTGAAACCATAAGGAGTCAGACATTAAAATTTGGAGTGAAGTTTTTTTTCATTATCATAAGCTTGTATTTTAAAAAACATTAAAATCTGAGATAGCGTGGTGCAGAAAATTTTTTTTTTTTTAACTTTTTTAAAAAGTGCTGAAAAAGACATGAAACAAAAATTAAGTGAACAGGTTTTCTAAATTGTTTGCATTAGACATTGAAAGACAGTTTATTATAATACTTTTATATTGTTTCTTTAGGTTGGTGGAGCATTGGACTTATGATATTTAGCTTGTGCAGTAATTTATTTATAACAAAGATTTTAGTTGAAATAATTGCATCAATCGGAGATGAAGCTTATAAAACTCGTGATCCATATACTCGAGCAATTGAATGTGCTTTCGGAAAAAAAGTTAAAATTTTTTCTTCAATCATTCTGCATTCATTAAACATATCTGTTACTACAGTCTATTTAATACTTTCTACAGAATTGTTAATTATGTTTTTTAATGAATTTGCTCCAATATTGACAACAACTTTAGGTTTTCGTCTATGGTTATGCATTCTTGTAGCTATTTTGATCCCAATTACTTGGTTAGGAACACCTAGTGATTACTGGATTGTTGCTTTGTTTGCTTCATTTACAACAATATGCGCTGCAATACTTATTTCAACCAGTTTATTGCTGAATCATCCTTCTGATATTAGCAAGGTCCCTGTTCGTAATGTTACACCTGAGTCTTTTTTCTTTGGAATGGGGTCTATTTTATTTGCATTTTGTGGAGTTCCATTTCTGCCAAATATTCAAAGTGATATGAAAGATGGCAAAATGTTGTTTAAATCTTCTATTTTTTCCTATGTTATTGTAGCATCAGTTTATGTTCCGATCGGAATACTTGGAATGGTTTTGCTAGGTAATAATATCAATCCAAATGTTATTATGAATGTTATAGACCAATCTAAAAGTTTACAAAATGCTTATTTGAAAGGCGTTTTAAAAAAGTTGGGATATACTGCATTAGTTCTTCTTGCTGGACATTTCTTATTTGCTTACAATCTTATATTCAACAGCCTTGCTCAAGAATTAGAAGAAGTACTTAAAATAAAACGAGGTGAGTATTTTTGAAGGTATTTTTAAGTTTCTAATTATTGAGATTTGTACTTTGTTACAAGTTTAATTCTTCAAGTCTCATTGAATATATGTAAAACAAGTTTAATTCTACAAGTTTAATTGAATATACAGTATTGGACAAAACATTTGCAACCAACATTAAACAATCCTAAAAAGTGTTCCTAATTTTACATGTTTTAAAATTGAAACGAACTATACTACCACAGCAAATAGTTCAGGAGTCTGGAGTATAGCATGCTATGATGTAAACAATCAGCTGACAGGTGACAGCACACAGGCAGAATTTTGTTGACAAGTGCCATTTTGCAGTGGACAAAACAAGTGCAACTTTTTTGGTTTGTTTCATTTTCTTAAGTCTAGTCCATGTCAACGTCACGGAAGTTTTTTAATAACTAAAGGAAGTATCCAGAAGTTTCCAAAAGTTTTCAGAAGCATGCAGAAGCTTCAAGAAGTTTCCAGAACAAGCATCTGGAAGCATACAGAAGTATCCAGAAGCATCGAAAAGAAGCATCTAGAATCTTCCAGAACAGGTTCACACATGTTCATTTTACCATATAAGAGACACTGATTGACTTCCATATACTGAATTACATGTAAACCGACATGTAATTCAGTCAGTATATGGAAGTCAAACAGTCAGTATTATCAAGACAGTTTATCGAAGTGAGTTTTATCAAAGTGTTTTATCAAAGAACATTAATACAAGAAGTGAAATACAACAAGTGTTTCATTACATCAATACAGTCCACATCCAACCAAGACGTTGTGTTCCACAGAGCATTATTTTATCATCAAAAGGTAAATGTAACACAGTAAGCCTTGAGAAGCGGGATTATTTATTTTTATTATTTTTATGTCTTCAAGTGCAAAAATGACTCCCAACAGTCTTGGATTAGAACTAAGAAAGAAAATTATTGGCGATTATGAAAGTTGAATGTCACAAAAAAAGTATATTGAAAAAATGGAACGTGAATTGTCCTGTTCAGTGATGAATCGAAGTTCAATATCATTGGGAGCGATGGCATTTGCTGTGTACGTCGACCGGCCGGAAAACGTCTCAATTTACGTTACTGCCATAAGACAGTGAAGCATGGTGGAGGCAATGTAATGGTCTGGGGGTGTTTTTCTGCTAACGGTCTAGGTCCAATATATTGAATTGATGGAATAATGGAGCATTTCATGTATAAAAATATCCGGAAAGATGTTATGTTACCTCATGCTGAATGGAATATGCCAATAAAATGGGTTTTTCAGCAAGACAATGATCCGAAACACACTGCAAAAGTAGTCAAGCAATGGTTTCAAGACAACCACCTATCGGTGATGGATTGGTCGCCTTAATCTCCAGATCTCAACCCTATCGAGAACCTGTGGGAGATCGTCAACCGCAGAATTAATCGTGAAGGTGTTCCTAATAAGGATCAACTGTTTGAACAAATCCAAAAGGCCTGGGTAGCGATTCCACAAAGTTTCATTGATCACCTGATCGAATCTATGCCTCGAAGATGCGAGGCTGTGATTGACATCAAAGGATTCGCCACGAAATATTGATAGCAAAATACAGCTTAGTCAACATTTTGTGGAGTTGCACTTGTTTTGTCCAGAAGGAAATCAACTTTTTTAAATACTTTTGATTAAATTATTAATTTTCGTGTACAAACAATGAACTTTGTGATAAATAAAACTTGAAGAACGTTGTCTTTAAACAGTTACATAGTTATTTCTCTAAATTGAAAAGATGCAGCATTTTTATATAAAGAAACTAAATTAGCATTATTTGGTTGCACTTGTTTTGGTTGTCTCATTGAATAAAACAAATCTAATTATTGAGATTTATACTTAAGTTGCACAATGTGATTTCATTTTAGTATTTTGTTGGCAAAGATGTCTTCTACGAACATTTTTTGTTTTATTAACTTTAACTCTTGCTCAAACCATTCCCAAATTTGAAATTATCTTATCATTGGCTGGTGGTGTATTGATGACCTCACTCTCCTATATTATTCCTTCTTTAATGTACATTAAGCTTATTGATAATGTGAGTATTTCTTATAAATGCATAATGGCTGTGATATGTACAGGCGCTGCAATAGCATGTTTTGGTTCTATTTATTCAAGTGCCATAAAGATTTTTAATTTTTATAAGAATCCAGTCTAGTTGCTTTTACGTTACTCAAGATAAATTTTTTAATATTTTACGCAATATATATTGTATATTATTAAAATTTATACATAGTTACTGTAAATAGTATTAATTGCTATCATTAGTTATCATGGGTTTTGTATAATCCTAAATAATTATTTAATAATTTTTAATTTATTAATTTTGATTTTCCTTTTTTATAAAATCTTTCTCTTTCTTTTTTATATTAAAATTTTTAACTGACTTTTCTTTTACTTAGTTAATTAGTTCATTTGTGTAGTTGTTTTGCAAAGAGATTTTTTTAGCAACCAATTTTTTAATATTTAATATGAATTTCGTCTTATTTATATGTTAATATAATGGATACAAATGTTAATAAATGTCAGTATATTGATATATAAAACGTTTACACGTTTCTATTATATTTCTAAATGCTTGTGATGAATTTTAATGTACATACCTTAAGATAAATGTAATTAATTTTATGTGCGTTTTATGTAATTGGCAATAAATGATTTAATTTTGTGTGTTTTTGTGTAATGTTGAATTTATTTGGTGTATATTTGTGAAATTGATGACGAATGATTTGATTGCGTGTGTTTTTGTGTAATGATGATTTTAATTTTTCAAGTAACGGTATTTATACTTTGTAATTTGTTTTTTTATTATTTAATATATTGTATACAAGTTATACTTTGCTTTATATTTTTATTCACACTTCACATAAATTATTTATTTAATGCCCACGTCACATTAAGTATTTATTCAGGGCCGACGACACCGAGGGCCAGGGAACGCGTGCAGCCCCCCATCCTCCCTTTTTTTTCTAAAATTTTTTTTTTTTTTATTAGACTATTTTCAGATTAATGGTTGTGATACAAGCTCCCCCCCCCCCTCACTTCAGAACCCGTGTCGTCGGCCCTGTTAATTAATACCCACGTCACATAAAATGTTTATTTAATGCCCACGCAGTGCTGGACAGAGCAATTTGGGGGCCCTAGGCAGACATGGATGTGGAGGGCCCCCCACATATATTTATTTTTATCTGAATTTACTACGCGACTGATACTACGACTACGCGATAATAAATTTAATTAATATTTTTGAAAATTATTGCATGTTTCCTCAAAATTAAAAAGTAATGTATTTTTTAATTTTAATTTCTTCATTTTCAACTTTCAACGTTATGGGGCCCTAGGCGGCTGCCTTATTTGCCTTATAATACGGTCCGGCACTGTACCCACGTCGCATAAAGTGTTAGTCCAGCAGTTTGATTTTTTGTTTACTTTTTAATAGTTTTTTAATTTTTTTTTTTTATAGTTTACATGGATAAACTGGCAATTATGAAATAATGAAATTTAACATTTTCAATTATCTCTTGTTTGTCAGTTTATCCATGTAAACCATACAGGTTTCTAGCAACAGACAAAGTCAAATCTATTTAATAAAAAGAGAGTAAGTTCTAAATTAGATTTGTCTATAGACGTCTTTTTGATGCTTCAAATATAGACGATTTTTGATGCTTCAAATGTGACACTTCAGGCCATTGGGCAAACTAAGATATTTTCATGCTTATATCAAATAAGAGTGTTTTGCTAACATCGCATAAGTTTACATAAGTTAAATGCAATTGAAGACTCCACGGGAAGAAACGGCAGGGTCACATTTTCTCATTTTGCGATAACTCATTTTTAAACTTTTAAACCTATATAACTTTTTTATTTTTAGGGAAAAGATTAAAATTTTGAAGATATATTACAAAAATAACCAATTTTTTATGCAATTAAAGTTGCATTTCTAATTTAAAAATAAAAATTTACGTGATATACTTTCTTTTTTAAGTGAGATTTTTTGTGGACTCTGCCGTTTTTTCCCCGGTAAAATGTTTTATTTTATTAGTTTTAAGATCAAGTAAAAACCTAAAGTATGAATTATTTTTTATTAGCTTATAAATTAAATTAGGCAGAAGCTAATTTTATCAAACAACCTAACCACCAAGACCAAATATTGATCATTTAAAAGATTAGGGGGTTGAACTAAAATTAAAAATACTGTTTAGTGTTGATATTTTCGTTTAGAAAATAATTATAGTTTTCGTTAACAAAAGGTTTCATTCTGGTTCTTTTTTCGTGCACAAAAATATCACTTACAGTCAACTCTCAATATCTTTAATACTTGATATCTCAAACTTTTTTGAATCCAGTCGAACCCTTATTTATGGATTATACTCTCGATAACTCAAAAATTCTTTAATCTCAAACCAATTAATCGGTCCTTTGCAGGTTCGAGATGTCAAGAGTTGTCTGTAGATATTTTGTATAGAAAATGATTATAGTATTAGTTCTAGTTCTCGTTTACGAATGACTTTAATTCTTATTATAAATCTTTCATTCAAAAATATCACTGTTGATAAAAAAGTTCAATTTCTTTTTTATTTAAAGGTTAACCCATTAAATACCTATATAACTATACCTATATAGGTGTCACAAAACTGTGAGCAAAAAATTATTTAATGCAAAGTTTCTTTCCTGATAATAAAGGCGATTTAAAACTTTATAGGTTTTCAAACAACTCAGAATTTATTTGATCTGAATTTTTATTTTCATACCCTGACTAATAGTCAAAAGATATATTCAATACCTTGGGATTATTAATTATATAAATTGTTGTATATTAAGTGCAAAGAAGAAACATTAAAGATTACAGATTTTTTCAAAAAACACTAAGAAAAAAATAACTAAAAACAAACTTTAAATCAAAAAAGAAGTCTATTTACTCTTCATTTTCAGAATCAATAATTTCATGAAATGTCTCAATAACCTCCTGATTGTATGGCAAAGAATCGTAAAACTGAGCATTCGATGTAAACCTTTTTAATAGTAAATCTCTGTACTTTGCCACAGAGATGCAAAGTTTTGCATTATACAGAATGGGGATCTCACTTTTTATAGTGTTCTTCCTATTATTTTTTAAATTAGTTTTCAACAATAATCCATTCCACGAATCACGATGAAATACAATGCCACTTGAGTCTCCTCTGAAAAAAATTTCACGAAGAGGACGTGTTGGAATTGGACATTTATTCTTATAAAATGGTCTTATAAAATCAGTTATACTTTTAACCATACCTTGCGTTAATTCTATAACATGAAACGGAGTGGGATTTTTACGAGCATTTTTGAATGTTTTAATCCAATCTGATGGATCACTAGTGGGTGTTTTGCAATTAATTAATCCCATATCTTTATCACATTCCATAAAAGAATGACCACGTTCTGGAAATGTAACTTTAATATAGTCAAACCTTTTTTTTTCATGTACAAGAAAATCCATAAAACGAATTAATGTATAGTTTTTGTTTTGGCCACCACATGAATCACAAAATAGCTCTACAGATCGAATTTCTTTGTCTAAATGTTTTATAAAAAAATCATGTAACATCGAAGTTACCTCATCAGCCCCTTTTTTAGCTATAGTTTCATCATAACAATACAAATAAACTTTATTACTTGAAAGCACGTGAATATTAAATGAATAAAATGCTAATTTTCGTTTGTAGTAAAAGTCGTTGGTTGATTGATTTGGTAAGTTAAGATTTTTTTGGAAATCAAAAGCAATTGCCTCAAATTTGTACTCCCTTTGTGCTTTAAACCGAGCATTTCTTTTCCTGACATAAAATGTTTCTGCATTTTTGTGGTGCTGTTTTTTCAGTAACTCAAGCTCATGCAATTGTTGTTCAGGCTCTGTACATTCTGAATTAAAAGATAGTTCAATTTTTATTGCATCAATTTTAATTTTAAACTCATCACATTTTGAACATGTGTCAGTCCTAGGGTAGCCAAAAGAAATGTTAAAACTAGTGTTAAATATGTTGCGATAAGATTCATATGACAATTTATCATTTGCATACTTGATTTTAAACAAGTCATACATCTTGGTTATATTTAATTCTTGAGGAAGATATAGTCGCCTAGTTTTTTTTTGAGAGTAGTGGGACTCTCTACCTCTGAAAGAAGAAATGTGATCACATATTTTATTTTTTAGTTGAGGAGTAAAACTGTTATACTGATTCTTGTGTTTACCTCTTTTATCATGGGGAGAGTGACCTATAATGAGAAAAAAAAAATTCATATTTAAAAAAACTTATATATAAGATAACTTCCACTAAAAATAATCATTTTGTATTCAATAAAAATATATAATTTACTTGTAGTTAAAAGGCTTCTTTTAATGGTCTCCAATCTTCCCTTCTTTATGCCAAAGATTGAAATAAACGCAGAAAAACAAACATAAACAAACGAACTCGCAAATATCTCGTGATTTGTAATAAAAAGTTTATATGTGTAACTGCTATTATAACCTTTTGAATTAATGTTTCGTGGTCTTCTTCTTGAAACGTTATTTAAAGTTATTAAACTTGCAAGATACGAATCTTGAGCATCCTTGCTGGATAGAGAGTTAAAATATCTTATTAACACTTTTCTATCTTCTTCTTTAACATTATGAAAACATTTCAGCTTTATACAGTTACATCCAAGCCCTGTTTTATGCGATGATAATCTTTGTTTCTTTATAATTTCACGCAATCTTTCCTTACTTTTTCTTTTCTTGGATTTCTTTAGCATTTATATTGGTATTTCAAGTATCGCCATTTTTATTATTTAATTTACATTAACCAAATCACCTGTGATTATTTTGAAAAACAAAGACTTATTGCCATAAGTATGAGTCTTGATAATTCAAAAAATAAAAATGGTAAACTTGGTTTATGTCTATTAGTAAGTTGCGAATATTATTTAAATTCATAAACACTTGTCTTTTCGGGGAGGTATGTATTGTATATAAAAAAAAAGTGATTAAGTTCCATCAAACTATAAAGGTACATCCAATTGTTTTTTTGATTTGAATTCAAATAAAATGTATAATAATATTGTTTATAAAGTTAAAAAGTGTAAAATGTCAAAATTTTCAAAATGTGACCCTGCCGTTTCTTCCCGTGGAGTCTTCAGTTACATACAGTTAAAGTTACACATAGTATCTTAAAACTTTTATTAAAAAATTTATTTTAATTTTTATTTCTTTGAGGAATGAAAATCGTTATAAAAATAAAAATTGTCACATGTTTATAAAAACTGGTAAAATATTTGAATCGGCCTTTAATCTCGAAAAAGTGTTTAAAAACAAAAAAAGTTGTTTAAAGTTAAAATTATTAAACAAATTTTATTTTTATTAACAACTTTGAAAATTTATTTTAAAGGTTATTTTCAACCTTTTGGCAAACGATTCAAAAATGTTTCCGTTTCCAAGGCTTATTTTTTTTCTTCTGGTAACGATTTAGTATAACTAATATTTTAAGCTTAAAGAGGTAACCTGCTGAATCTGAAAATTATGTGTTATTATAAGTTATTTAATAAATCCAAGAAATTTTGTTTAAATTATTTATTATAACTTATTTGGAAGATCCAAGATATTTAAAATAACTTTGATGTATTTATCGAAAGAAAAATAAAAAAATAAAGTAAAGATATTTATGTGAAATCTCTAAAAATTATGAGAAGAAAATGAAAGATTATTTGAATAATAGTTACTTTTTCTGACAGAAAGAAAAAAAGTTTTACAGCAGTACAATATTAAAATGATTTTCTGTCGAATTGATTACAATATTAAAATGATTTTCAGTCGAAATATGAT